GTTCCAGGGGATCCAATGCCTTCTTCTGACCTCCATGGGCACTGCATGACAAGAATGCACTTATACATATGCAGGCACAACACTCATACATATAAAATAAAAATAATATATTAATTTATAAGAAAAGAAGCTTCAAAAGACTGCTCGAGTCAACAGCAGAGGCAAGATTTAACTCTACTGCTAATACTTGTAAGTCATACAAGTCATACTGCCAAATTTAGGTCAACAGTAATGTTATTTTGGGGGCAGCAGCTAACACAGTAGAATCCTTTCATCAAGTAGCAATGGATGGTGTCAAGAGAAATGGCTTTTCTTAGCTTTGTTTGCCAGAAGATGATCTGTAACTAAAGGATACAGTAAATTTCTTCTACTGCAGAACTTCTTTTCCTGGGGACATAGTGGTAAAGCACTTGCCTAGTGTGTTCAAGACCCTAATTCAATCTCTAGCACTGCAGAAAACAAACCCCAAACAAACTCCCAGCTTTCTCTGTATCATTCTCAGTGTGACACTATTATGGAAGTGCTTCTCTTACATCTACATAAATGTCAGAAATACCTGTCCCAAGATTTTCCCTTCCCTAACACAGAACAGTAAATTTAAAAAAAGAAGACCATAATGACTTATTTGAGGAACTGCAAAATCAACTGATCACAACCAATGCTCTGTATAGAAAGCATTCATTATACATGGCTAATGATTCTTGGCTTTCTACCTTCTTTAACTTTATTCTATATTCTCTCAAACAGAACTGATGGTAACTTTACTTACTTCTTCATTTTGAGGAGTTGGAGGAGGTCTTTCTAAATCCAGAAAATCTAGTGGTCTTTCACTCAGTGTAAGTACACGAGGTGGGGTTTTTAGTGCCAGAGGTTTAAAGGGAGTGGACTGAATAAGGTCAAGATCTGCTGGTCGTGAGAATGAAACGTCTTCATTATTTCCTAGAGGTATATAAAAAAAGAAAAACAAAAACTAATAGGGAGAAATGGTTAAGAACACTGATTTATGTTAAAATGTTTTTCCTTCTGTCAGTTTTGTATTGTGGCCTACGTGACAGCAACAGTTTTTTTAAGACAACATTTCTGGCATTTGATTCCACTAATATTTACTATTTCACTAATGCTTAACACGTGGTGCAGGTTTATCCAATACATACATATATGCTCATATGCTCAAAACAAACAAAACCCAAGCAAGTCTCCAAGTATACAAAGAACTCTTACAACACTCACATTTTCAAATTGACAAAATATTTGAATAGATGCCTTGAATGTAGGTAAGCAAATGGCCAAAAATCACATGTACATGTGTCCAAAATTATTAATTTCCAAGGGAGATACAATTAAAATCACAAGGAAATGCCATATATACTTGGATAACTAAACTTACTGAACCCATTAACAAGGATATAGAGCAACTAAAAGTCAGATGTCACCAATGAAATTTGAACATGGGACACAATTTGGAAAATAGTTTGCCAACATTTGAAAAAGTGAAATATAACTTATAATCTGGCATTTCACTTCTAAAGATATGAAGGTATCTATCCTCATAAAGTTTGTACACGAATATTCATGGGCGTTTCATTCCCAAGAGCCTCAAAAAAGAAACAATGTCTACTATGTGAAGGATAATGAAAATGTACCATACAGAATACTGACATTCAGGGGTTAAATAAAAGGAACACAGGATAGCTGCTCTAATGTGGAAGAATCTCAAAGTGACTACACTAGCCAGGCATGGAGGCACAACCCTGAATGCAGCATTCAGGAGGCTAAGGTGGGAGGACCTTCAATCCTGGGCTGCACTGAACCTCTGTCTCCAAGAGAAAAATCAAAGAGTAACTGGGCTTGTGGGGCAGGCCTGTCATCCCAGCTATGCAGGAGGCTGAGGTGGGAAGGTGACAGGCTCAGGATCTGTGTGCTACAGGGCAAATTCAAGGCACTAAAGAAAACCTGGGTCCTGTTTCAAAAGTGAGAAACAATAAAGGGCTGCAGACAGAACCACGGTACATCGTTTGCTTAGGATGCACAAGACCCCAGTAAAAAAGGAAAAAAACAACAAAAGAAAAAACATATGTTTAGCAAAAGAAGCCAGACAAGCATTACCTATCATAGGACTCCACGCAGTGAAACTCCAGCAAACAAGTCTAACCTCTGGCCATGTAAAGGAGAAGGTCACTGGTAGAGCGGAGGGGCTTGACTGATGGACAAGGGGGGCAAGCAAACTTTTGTGGAAGACAAAAATGTTCTTTCAACTCTGGAGGTTCCATACACTTCTCAAAACTTGTGAAAACACTGTTTCTCAATAATATTCTGGAAACCCTAAGGTTTCCCTGAGGAGTGAGCTACAGCGGCACTGCTAAGGCGTGAGGAGTACCTGTGACCACAATCCTCTCCGGGACTTGCATCATCGCACTGGCATTTGCAGCTCCTTCTTGGAATCCGTGTTCCAGGTCAGCATTTGGCGGTGCTACTTTTAATTTTTCTGGGACCCTCATTCGCTGACTAATACCCTCGGTGTATTCCATTTCATACTGAATTCGACTGATTTCTGCCATCTCAGCAGCAGTGGGGGAAGGAAATGCTGCTGCACTCACCCTAGAGAAGAAAGATTTTAAGACCAGGATGACCAGGGCTAAGATGTCGATGTCTATGCTGTCGTGATGGAAGACAAAGCCTTGTAACAAGCAGCAGAAGAAATGCGTCAACTGCAGGCTCCAGACACAGACACAGACACAGACACACACACACACCTGTCCACACAATAAGGCCTTCTTATCCGCCGAACAGGAACCTTGGGGACATCAACTGGGAGTAGATTTCTAAAGTTATTACACAGCCACAATACAAATGTGCACACACACATTCTCTCTCTCTCTCTCTCTCTCTCAGCAGATAAGCATGCTCCTCAGAACTCAAAAAAATGCCTGAAATAAAATTTAAATTAACACCCCCAATCAGAGGTTTGTTGGCACAATTCAACGGCAGAGTGCCTTCCTGGCATGCAGGAAGCCCTGACACAATTTCTAAAGCCGCAAATGAAAAACAAAACAAAAAACAATCAAAAACAACACCCCATCTCATTATTTGGAAGAACACTGATTGGATTTTATAAAAAATGAAATCAGAAATTGTCATCATGCTTGAAATAAACTTAAGTCTCCAAAGGTAGACAAGGTAATGCTCAATTACTAAGAAAAGACAGAGCTTCCCTCAGCCACATAATACAAATTAAAACCTCTTATTGAACATGTATCTGATGACCAGGGTGCAATGAAGGCCAAATTCACATCAACAAACCCTTAACGTACATAATTACTTTAAGGGCTTAAGTGTTCACATTATGAACTTATGTCAATATCACATTTACACGTATTGTTTTGAGAAGCAACGGATGCCCCTGGGAGGAAGACTAGATATGCACTGAGTGACCGTGGCTCCTGGATGCCTGAGTCCAGGAGATGAAGCAGAGGCGACAGCGCCCCAAGGAGAATGCCAAGGGAAGCACGGGCAAGGAACGCGCAAGGCAGCGCAGCCAGCGGCCGGAAAGCTGCCGCCGTATCATCGCAGCTCCAGCTCGGCTGAACGGAGCGTCACTGACCTTCCTAGTGGGGCGGCACCGCTCGTTCTCTCACTCATCTCAACAGTGAATACATCACGCCTACAACAGCTAGTAAAACACGGCTACCCTGCGGGTCAGTGCACTTTACACAGTAACTCCCCTACAGATCTGAACTGTTTTGGGGGTGTACAAACAACACGGACACTGCTTTTCCAGCTGCAAAAAAGAAAGAATAAAAATCAGTATTTCAACAGTTCATTTTATAAGAAAACTATGAGCAAAAGTAAATCTTTAAGTGGCTCAATTTGAAAATCCAAATTTCAAATCTCCGTCCATGGTTATTTGCATCAAATGTACATAAAGACATGACATCAGACTGGGGGTGGGAGGGAACCTACCAGAAAACTCATCTAATCAAGGATGCTGCTTTCTTGTTTAGATGAAATACAAAGAAATCATGAAAAGAATGCAGGGGTAAAGTAAATACAGAGGCAGCCTAAAATTTTGTGTCTAAGTAACAGTTTCTTGAAAAGAAAGCCAAATTACACTAAGTTTTCAGAGACAATAAAAATTAAAGGCAATATAGATGTCTCAATCACAGGTAGGTTATTTTTTAAGCTGGGCTGAAGGCCAACACAGATGCCTTAATCGTCGCTGTGTTATTTTTTTGCCAAAGATGTACTCTAGGCCTTTAATTCTACCTCACTGAGGTGGCTTTGAGTGTCTTGGAGGCTGCTTAGTGTGCTAAGCTGGTCTGATTCCGACTGCCAACTAGGTTCTTTTTACTCTTTACCCAAATACCTGCTTTTTAAGGAGTTGGCATACAGATGTTAAGACTGGAGCACAGTCAAAGGGACCACTCTACTTACGTGAAGCAACTGCTCGCTCTTTGGCACTATCTGCTTCTGGGCTTCATAGTAAATCCTTTGACTTGCTGCAATATGCATGTGCTGGGTTTATAGCCACTTCTGTCCCTGCCAGAGAAAAACAGGGGCTGAGAAACTAGACAATGCCATCATTAGGGATTCAGTTGGAAATTCTTCAAATAAAAGCCACAAAGATGTGCAACTTTACACTAAGAAATGAACAAAAGAATAAAGAAAGAAAAAAAATCAAGCTTAAAAACAGTTTTAGTCCCACAGACAGGGTCTACGATTATTTATTATGTAAGGCAAGACTAAAAATAACTGATTTATGTTTAGAAAGCTATGGCAGATCAAGTGTTTAAATTAAACTAATATTCACGTATATACATATACACATACACACTAAGGAAACATACTGGTTAAATTTTCATTCACTTTAAATGTTTAATAAACAACCAGAAATAAACACTATATAAAATACAGGAGTCCATACAGAGAGGGCTGAGCACGGTTGTGCCCAGCACTCAGAAGGCAAAAGCAGAAAGATGGAGAGTTCAAGGCCAGCATGTGCCACATAGTAAGACCTTGTCTAAAAGAATGAAGCAGACAAAACTGAACATGTGGAGAAAATGAAATCTTAGCCCCATAGGAACCTTTATCATCAACTTTTGTGTATCATTCTAGATGAGATAGAGTATCTGTGTACTTGAGGCACAGCAAAAGCTCAGAAAGAGACACCAGTTGCAAAGCCACATTATCTCTTCAAGATGTGCTATTCCACATCCAAACCTTTCACTGACCTTCATTTCCCCCTCCTCCCCCTCCCCTCTCTCTTCAGACTCTCACTATGGAGCCCAGACTGGCCTTGAACTTATGATTCTCCTGCCTCAGTCTCAGGAGCACTGCACTCATGAGCATGGTGGCGTCAGAATCGCCAGCTCACTTCGCCCTCTCTGTGTCCCTTGTAGTACATCTCAAGGGTCTCAATGTTTCAAAGTATGGCAACATCGTAGGACAATCTTTTGAGTCTGAAAGCCACTCACAACATAAAGATGGTCACACGGAGGACAACTTCTCCTGTAGATGAACTACCTATATTTAAGAGGGAAATAGAACTTTTCTGTTGAGACTTAACACTGTTGCCCAAGTTACTAGTTTTTATGTTTAAGTGAAACAGATCAGGGTTTAATTATTTTTCTCCCTCATTAGACTGTCACTTTGGGTAACATCTTTTAGCAACAAATACACTCATTTGGGACTAAGGTAGTAACAAGTTTCACCACTTAGAATCTATTAGGCAATCAGTCCATTATAACTTATAAAACCTCCCTTAGAATCATAAATGATACCAAATTTCTACCTTTACTTTCCAATTTCATCAGGGCTCCCATATATTATACTTAATTTTTTCCTGTAACTTGACTTGTACAGTTTTAAATAAATGCACTTTTAAAGGACATATTCCATAACTACCTTAGAACTGTGGACTTCATGTACACATACAAGTATATATAACAAAACCACAAGTATCACAGAAACTAATTGAAAACAGATCAAAGGCCTTGATGTCAGACCTGAAAGTCTGCAACTGCTACAGGAAAGTACAGGTAAAGTATTCAAAGATGCAGGCAAGACTTTCTGCAAAGGACTCCAAGAGCCAAGGAAATAACAGTAAAAATTGACAATGCATAAATTAAAACATTTCTGCACAAGAAAAACAACAGAGTGAAGGGAGTCTACATAATGGGAAAGTCTTTGCTAACTATACATCTGACAAGGGATTAGTAGCCAGAATTTATAAAGAACTAAAAAAAAAAAAAAGCAATATCTAGTAACCAAAAACTTTCACACCAGAAGGGGCAGAGCAACAGCCAAACTCCATAAACCTAAAATGAGGCAGTCCTATCAGACAGGAAGGGAGGCAGCACACAAATTTCCTTGGCAGAGAATAGTAGCTTGGGAGGGGGGGGAAGCATATATTCAGAAATACCACAGAAAACGCTACTGAAAAGCTATCCCAATTCACAAGCCCCTCGAAACCAAAAAGGAGAATTCTTCCCCTCCATTCCCAAACTATCTAATTGCATGGTGAGACTACTAAGGACTCAATCGCCCTAATTTCCCTAAAGGTTTTTCTTTGGGGATCTCATTAGCCAAAGGGACTGAGAGAGAAACAAATGTTTTTTCACCAGGGAAAGAAAACATTCGCAACCATTCCAAGTCTCCCAGCCGAAGGCCAGCAACACGACCTTTATTCTTCTGCAACTGGAAACCATCAACACTTCAGAGCGTGCAGCTCTCCCCCCGGGGATGCAATGCACCGAGCTCCGAAGCTAGGGACCGCGGTGATTTGGGGTTTGGATTCTACGTTTGGAGACTCATCCTGCAAACGAGGATCCGAGGCTACAGAGCACAGAGACCCAGCTTTGCTGCAGCGTCCTAGCTCCGGGGTGATGCCCCGGAGAGACGCCGGCATCCCCATTTGCGACGCTTCCGCCAGACCCCTTGGCCTGACCTCACCAAGGCCTTTCTTGATGTATTTTCCACAAAACAAAAAGCTAAGTCTAAACTCGGCAGGTTCAAGGTCATATTGGAAGGTTCCTGGGCCGAGGAGGACGACAGAGACAGACAAAGGCCAAGTCCCGGCTCAGGGCTCCCTCCCCTTTCGGAACCCCCAGCTAATTCTCGTTAGGGTTTCGGGTGGTCTTTTTCCCCTCTGTCAGTCAAATCAGGTTCCCCCACCCCCACCCCCACCCCAACGAGACGCCCAGGAAGAAAGGGAAGGATGCACGGCAGTGCGCCCCTCCCCGCCTGGGGCCGAGTTCCTGACCGCGAAGGCTAGGCCGCCGCCCGTGGCCCGGGACGCGGGTGTCACCCACCGCCGCGGTGTAGGCCGAGAGCCCCGAGCCTCGAGTCCCCGGTCGGACAGACCGGCACTCACCCTGGGCCCGCTGCAGTCCCCGGAGAGGGCCGCCGCCGGCCGGTTCCCGAAGCGCTCGGGGGAGCGCTCTCAGAGGCGGTTGGCCAAGCGCACGGAGGCCCCGGGTAAAGCAGCGGCGGAGCGGCCGCGGCGGCCCGGGACGGACGCGAGAACGGCCGGGACTGGCCCCTACCGGGAGCCGTAGCGGAAGTGGGTTCCTGATCAAGTGACAAAGGAAGGGCGGATGTTCCGCTCACCGCAGTGAGATGGTGATAAGGAGCCATTTTTGTTGTGGGCCAAGGGCTCCTGTTTCAGGTGAGGGTTTAGGTTCAGACTCTGTGATCTTTTAAGAGCCTCGCGCTTGCAAGGTAAACTTTATTAGTCTGTTTTAAAGGACCACCTGCGTCAACATTCGCATGGTGTGAATCATGAGAATCTGAATATTAACCAAGTCTAGGAGTAATTCCTAGGTGCCCTCATTTTGATTTTTCCTCAAGACCACAGATTAAGACCGTGGCAAAAGGGTAACTATGGCTCACCTGTGGAAGCAAGTGCCAGGCTCACATGAACAGACCCAGTCCAAGTCAGGAAATACTGTCTGCCTCGATTTTCAAAACAACATAGCTAAGAGTCACCCTTTGGTATCCATTGTTTTTCAACCATGGATTCAACCAATTACAGATGAAAAAATAAGTTCTTTCTTCAGGTCACCTGTATTATACCTGGGCGAGGTGACACACACCTGTAATCCCAGTACTCGTGATTTGGAGGAGGAGGCTGGAGGATCAGGAGTTTCAGGCCAGCCTCAGCCTTCGTTTATATAAAGCATATTCAGACTTTTTTTTTTTTTTTTTGGTCATTATCTCCTAATAATAGCACATATCTATATTGTATTATATATGTAAATATAGAGAATATTTTGAGTATTTGTGGGGATGTGCATACGTTACTTGCAAACACTAAGCCATGTTATATGAAACTTGAACATTTGTAGATTGGTATATGGGCTGCAGTCCTAGAACAAATCTCTTACCCCCTTGCACAAGAGAAGACTGTATACACACTTGATGTAATCTAGAATTTGAAGATACTCCAAAACCAGGCCTTGGCACATGTCCTTAATCTCAGTACTCAGGAGTCAGGGGCAGGAGGATGGGGCAAGTTCTAGTCCAGCCTAGTCTACACAAGAAGTTCCAGGTCAGGCAGGGTTACACAGTGATACCCCATCTTAAAAATAAAAAGCAAACAAATTAATACACCTACACACACATAATACATATACATATATACACAAACACAAAACACATACAAAACTAAAACCCAGAGATGTCATTCTTCATAATAGCTTGGGAAGCTTTCTGAATTATGTTTACATTCTTGGGTCACTTAATATTGGTATAGGAAAGGTAAAGTTTCTAATCTCTTGGAGTCTCAGCTGGGTCTAAATAAATTGACATAAAACAGTAGATTAATCCAGACAGCTGGTCAGTTACTCAATGAACTCACAGCAATGGTGACAATATGCATAAATCACATGTAAGCTCAAGCCAGAAAAAAATCCCAGCATAGTTGGGGGGAAGTGAAGAAATCTCAATCCTTTCTGAGGAACTATTGGCAACTGATGGCTACTGGGAAGGGGAGAGTCAGTCTCATTTAAGGGTGAGACTCTTGGTAGGTTGACCAGGCTCCAGTGGATGAGCCCACACTGAAGGGCATGTGGCAACATAAGCCTTTGACTCTACAAATATATATATATATATATATATATATATATATATATATATATATATATATATATATATATATATATATATATATATATAAAATCAAAATGTATGAAATTTGCAAAGATTTATTTAAAATAATTTTTAAAAATCAGATTGACAGGAAGGAAGATTACAAATATTATTTAGTAGTTTTTGCTTGTACATTGAAGTATAAACTAGAAAAATGAAGACCCAAAGAAATACTTGGGGACCAAACTTTATATTCTAAGTTGACCAAAGTAGTAAATTATGAAAGTGTGAGAAGACAGAGGGGTTTGGGCGAGGGGCCTGGAGATGTGACCATGAAGAGAAGAGGTGGTCATCCAGGTTGGTTTGTTCTTTCCCACCTTGACTTCTGGACCCTAAGTTGGAAACATTTTCCTCTTGATATAGGGAAGTTACTATTCACTTCAGGGATTGATCCTGTGCTTTCAGAAGGTCAGAATGCTGTTCTTATAGCTATTGTTTTTTAAGTGCCTTTGGCTGAAAATAATCTTTATACCAAAGTGGCATGTTGTGGGGTGGCAGTTTCTGCTTCCCAACAGAGGCAAAGCATCCTTTACGGAGAGATTAAATAATATTGATCTGTCATTCCAAGTCAGTGCTTTTGGGGAAAGAGGGACTAAGCTAGTAGACCATATATGATCAAAACCTTTAAAAGTGAGGATCCTCCTGCTTCCATTAGCCCTTACACTTTTTTGTTTGTTTGTTGTTGCTTTTTGAGACAGGATCACATTGTGTAGCCCTGGCTGGCCTGGAACTAGTCACATGGACCAGGGTGGCCTGGATCTCATACCTCCTGCCTCTGCCTACCAAGCGCTGGAATTAAAGGTGTGTGCCACCACACCTGATACAACCATGTTTTACAGAATGTCAAAGTACCTAATACTGTAGTACAATGCTGGGGATTCAAACCAGCGACCCCGGGCAGTGATGATTGGGGATGAGTAAGCACGCCATTTGCCAGCCCACGCCGCCCCCAGTACTGGGAACACTCAGGCCCAACAGGGAGCCTAGTCAAGCAGGGACTCATTTATTGCAGGTGTTACAGGAAATCCCCCTCTCCCCCCTGAAGGTGTATCTTAAGGATGGTCATGTGTTGATCATGCACTCCTCAGCCATGGGAAAGTATCCTTCAGACTTTTAAAACAAGCCAGGCCATGCCTCCAGTAACTTCCTCTTGGACTTATGCAAGGTGGGGCCTTTAGGTCCTCACAGTACAATGTCCAAGAAAAATGACTATGTGGAGTAGAGGGTGTTTTCTCTCCCTTGCATGGGAAGTCTACTCTCTTCTTTGTGTGATAAAGATCTGGGTCTTCCTTTTCTTCCCTCATTGATGTGGACATTTCTGTTTATGACTTAATCCATCTTTGGCTATTTCTAAAACCTGATAGTATCAAAATCCAAATTAGCTCATGATAGGTAGAGAATGGGCGGGAGCGAGCGGGCGGCACGGATGGAGGAAGGCACGAGCAGATGGATGAGGCACTGAGGCTCAGATGGAATTCTCAGCGGGACACAGATTTATTTCGCACGGGGCACCTTTCCCTCGGGGAAGGGAAAGATGTCAGCGGAGGGAAAGATGTCAGGGAAGGGAAGGGAAGGGAAGGATGTCAGGGAAGGGTGTCCGGGAAGGGAAAGATATCCGGTAAAGATGTCCACCCACGGGTTGTGAGCTGGGACTTTATATATGGGGGCTTTAGGGTGTGGAAGGGGGGAATGTTTGGAGGAGAAATCAGGGAGGGGGAAGCAGGAAAAGCAGGTAGGATTAGGGTCTGGAAGTGTTTACTTTTTCCCTCTTAAGAGAAAAACAGCTTCTAAAATCTCTGGTTATCAGGTAGAATCTGCTTATCCTATCTTTGGAGGTCAGAGGAAAGGCAGGCTGCTTCTCAGCAGAGTTTGTTTCCCTTGACTTCAAAGGTCAAGGTGCTTATCAGCTAAGTTCCCTTTTTCGGGCTCCAAAGTCTGTAGGTCCCTGTTGGGGAGGGGGGAATCTGCTGCTGTTTTGAACCCTAACAGTAGGTAAGTGCACCCACGTCGTGCAGTGCCTGTGGAGGTCAGAAGAGGCTGTCAGACTGGAGTTATGAACAGTTGTTAGCTGCCATGTGAGTGCTGGGATTCGAACCCGGGCCTTCTGCAAGAACAACCAGTGTTCTTAACTGCTGAGCCATCTCTCCAGCCCCACCCCATGCACATCTTATATTTTGACCATAGTCTCCTCTTCCCTGTTCCTAACTTATTTCCTCTAAAAGTCTCATCATTTTTAAA